GTGGATCAGGCTTTGGTGGATCAGGCTTTGGTGGATCAGGCTTTGGTGGATCGGGTTTTGGTGGATCAGGCTTTGGTGGATCAGGCTTTGGTGGATCAGGCTTTGGTGGATCGGGTTTTGGTGGATCAGGCTTTGGTGGATCAGGCTTTGGTGGATCAGGCTTTGGTGGATCGGGTTTTGGTGGATCAGGCTTTGGTGGATCAGGCTTTGGTGGATCAGGCTTTGGTGGATCGGGTTTTGGTGGATCAGGCTTTGGTTGATCTGGTTTTGGTTGATCTGGCTTTGGTGGATCAGGCTTTGGTGGATCAGGCTTTGGTTGATCTGGTTTTGGTTGATCTGGTTTTGGTTGATCTGGTTTTGGTTGGTCTGGTTTTGGTGCTGTTATAAAATAAACAAATAAATTAAACATCATTTTTCAACTAAAGAAAGAAAAAAGAAGAAAACAAACAAATGATAATCAAGATTATCCATTGTTGGTTTTGGTGGTGCCATAAAATAAAATAAATCAAGCATCATTTTGATTCAAGAAATAAAAAATAAGCAAATAAGCATTTTTTGTTCAAGAAATAAATAAGCAAATAATAATTATGATCACTTTTTGGTGATGGTGGTGCTATAAAACAAATCAATAAAACATCACTCTTGTTCAAGAAATAAAAATGATAATTGCGATTGATTTTATAACATCGCCACCAAAGGATAATAAACAAAATATCATTTTTTGATTCAAGGAATAAAAATGAAGAAAATAAACAAAATGATAATTATGGTCATAAAACATTATAAACAAATGATAATTACGTTTATCCGGTGGTGGTTTTTCTGGTGGTGGATCTTGTCTTTTTTTTAAATTTTCAACATTGATTGATTGAATTGGGCTAGTAAATTGAAGGATGAAAATAATACTCATCAAGAGTATTATAAATGCCGTCAATATCTTTGGGTTTGTTTTGTTCATTTTTCGTTATTTGATTGTAATAAATAAATTAACAATAATAATAATAATAAAACAAAAACTTCTATAATATATATATATGTGTTCAAAAAAAAAATTTTTTTTTTTTGTGGCTGGTCTATTTATGAAAAAATTGCCTTAAATCAATTCAAAAATATGAAACAGGGAAAAAATTTTTATTTAGGAAATGATGTAAATTAAATTATCATATATAGAAAAATAATAAAGGCCTCTATTTTAGGAAGATCCCCAAATAAGGTTCACAATGAGCCCTTAGTACTAGGGAACTCCTCAAACAAAAATATTGTTATTCGAAATTTCTTTATTTTCAAATATTAATATTGTCCAATCAAAAATTAATCGTGTGATAAATTGATGACAAGGATGAAGTTGTCTGCACTTTAAGAATTGAAAAATGTTATCTTTACCCAAATCTATTACAACTTTATATCATTCTATCTTCTTCCAACTTCTTGACTACCGATTTTACTCAAAAAATTAACAAGATTTTTAACTTGTGTTATGTAGCTCCCCTGCAGACGAGATATAAATAAACCAATTAATATATTAATCTTCTTTCTTCCTTCATGTGGATTTTTTCCCTGATAAAGTTTTAAGTTTAATTTTTATTCTTGAATTTTATTGGTTGGAGGATTTTAAAGTCCGATTCCGATAGTGATTGGAAACTTCCAATGCGTACAAAGTCCTGCGACTTCTAAAACGTTCCAATTACAATAAAAGGTACAACAATGTGTCAAGGAGTACTTAAACACAGAGTTAAAAAGAGGACTTTCAAACACCTAACTTTTTGTAATAATTAATTGATTAATAAATCCATTTTATCATTTTATCATCTCTTATTTACGAATTGTTGCATGGTTGAATAGGCAAATCTATTGTGAATGATTAAACGAGAATAATCTGACTAGTTTGGAATTGAGATCTCGGTCGGATAAATGTTTCAGATTAGTTTAAAAAAAGAGGAGTTAGAAATCTCGTAACTAATTTTATGCCAAATTTCTTTAAAATTTTTTTTGTTCGATAATAGTTATTAAATTTATAGGGCAATTTTATTCATAATCAATGGTTAACTTTAATCACCCCTCCAGTTACAATAACCATGATAATCATGGGTGGTTAAGATAACCAGAGGGGGTAGGAAGATTACTGTTGTAAAAACAACACAGAACTGGGAAAAGGTTTTCTTTTCATTTCAACACCAAACTTACTTCCCAACTGTGACACAATTAATTTTAGCTTTAATGATAATAATGAAACGTCATTCATCATCATTTAAATGCAATCAAATAAAATACATTCTCCTCTTGATATTTAAAAAGTATATCTAACATTAACATGCTTAATTTAAGTTAATTTGCAACTGCATTATACACGTCACTTTTGTTTACTATGTTCTCTTGAATATTTATTTCCAAACTTGAGTCACCATTAGGTGTATGCCCAGTATGCTCATCAAACATAAGTCACTGCTCCGGCTAAGAGTTGTTCGACTTAGCCGGCCAAGGTTTTTCTATCGGCTAACATCACTAATTTATAACATTTCGTAGCTTAGGTTCTCAAAATTATTCTCTAGAAAAAAAATTTTATTGAACGAAAATATGCTTTGTTGTTTTGATCTTTTCGTAAACAAGCATCATTTTTAACAAATTCTTTTGAAATTTTAATGAAATTCAACGTGGTGAAATCATCAGACTATATAAAAATAATGCACAGAACCACAAAATAACTAAAATTGCTGGTGTTCATAGAAAAGCAGTAACTCGTGCTATTCAAAGATACATTGTTATTATCACAGAAAATCAAGTAGAATGGATAAGTTATTACAATAATGTGTAATTTATTTATTAAATTTTTGCGTATTATTAATTAATTTTAGACATAAATTATGTGCTTTAACCAAAAGAACAATATTTACCTGAAGAATGTAAGCACGTACGCTATTTGTTATTGCATTTTAATTTTTTATTGTAATATGTATTTGATTTAATGGAAGTACAGAACCAAACTATACGATGAATATTGAATTCCTGGCACTACTTTTGTATTATCAATTCTATCAATCAATCTTTTAAACCATATCACATTTCAATGCATGGTTGTTACGTAGCAACATTCAATAAATAGTTAAATTATTAAGTGTTCTTCCTTCTAAATTTTGTCTAAATATGTCTAAAGCTTTAGGATTAATACTTCACAGAATCACCAAAAAACCTGTTTAAGTTTGTATCCTCTTCCCTATGAGCGCTTGAAACACAATCCATTAAATACTGGTTCATTATCAAATGCACCATTAATTAATTGCCTTTTGTGATAACTTAACCAAAATCATTTGAAGAATTATTGTTTGTTGATAATATTAAATGAAGTTCCTTTAGATCATCAGAACATTGCAAAATATTTTTTTAAAGGATTACTTCGAAAGTGATGTTTGGAGTGAGTTTTATTTTTCTTTTATATGATGGGGAGAGGCTTTTTAATTTTAGCTTGACATTTATCACACATTAAATTACTTGTGATTTGTTCATATTGTGGAGAACGTAAACATAGACCTGCAATAAATTTATTTATAATTAATATCAATATGTTAATGTTTTGTCTTATTTATTAACAATTTTTACCTTCACAGTCAATCAATCACACATTCTGCTAAAGGCCAAAGTAAAATGATTTAAGACACAGATTTTCGTTATTATTATCATCAAGTTTTTTCCTACTGAAAATTTTTTTAACTTTATCAGGGAAAAAGATCCTTTGCAACAACTTCCAACCTACGTGAACCATCAAAATCAACAAGAGTTCTGTAAATATATATTTTTACATTTTCATCACCCCAACCAGAAAATGGACGAAGCTCAAATTCGTCATCATTAGTCTTTTGTCTTTTGATATTGTTATCATTACTAACTATTTTCTGAGGGTATTGATAATACTTGAAAATAAGTTGCCAGAGATTTTTGTTTGTTTACTTTTACAACCACTTGATTTGACACGTTTATCTAAATATCTTTCGTCATAATCTCTATCCGGCTTGATTTGGGCACCACGCACTCTACCAGTTTTTAGTTTTTATGGATGTTGCTTTAAACGAGCATGATTATATTTCTAACCCAAAAATATACACAATTTCGCGTATGACCTATATGTGTATGCCTCTCTTCTTATGATCATGGTTTTGTCTCAAAAAATGTCACTACAAAAGGTTGACAAAAAAAAAGGATTAGTTCTGCTAAATCTAATGTTCAAACCCAACGTGTTAGATTTGATTTTAAGAAACTCTAAAACTTGTATATTATTAATATATTGAGAATCACCATCGCAAAACACAAAAAAAGGAAACCAAGCAGAAATTCAACTACTAAAATTTTTCCCACTGCCACTTGGATGGATCAAATTTCAACAAATACTTAAAGGGTTTATTTCCCGAGTCTGCTTGTGAAGATATTGTGTGGCTTTTCCAAACCAGTTTCATTTCTGCATGTTTCTAGTATTATCATTACTTTGCAATCTGCCAATTTTGTTAATTTTCACAAATTTAAAACAATAGTATCAAATGTATTTCATAATCATTATGAATACTGGAATAAGGACAAAGGTATTCTCATGCTCAATTCAACTAAAATATATATGAAAAAATCACCAGAGGAATTGCATCGAAGAAGAAAAATACTCGGATCCAAAACCATTGATGAGTATTATCTATTTCTTTATTCGTTTGATGCAATTTATAATTGCTGCTAATAATATCATCATCTTCAATCTTGACAGAAATATATTTTTTTATTGGTTATTTTTGAATGATTAATTACATAGTAAACAGATACGATAATAATAAATGATTTAAATAAACAAATACCTAGTCAAATTAGACCATGTGGCTGTTAGTTCCTGAGAATAACATTTAATAGTTATAACCACACTTCAATAAGAAAATTATAGTGAATCGTCACGAAGACAGACACCAAATCTAATATTATTTGTATTTTAATAATTAAATTAAATATTAAAAAATATCACGTGTGATTTTTAGATATACAAACACAGAAGTGGATGTACTATCAAATAAATAATATTGCTACAAGTCATTAATTCTATGAATTATTTTTTTTACAGAAATTAATGCTACTATTTAATTAAGCAATGATTAAATAAAGCATTGTCACAGAAATAACAAATAATGATGTAGCGATGCTGTATAAATTATAAATTGAGAGTTCCAGATCAAGATGTCCAGCTGAAACAGGATTACTTTCTTGAATTTCCTCTACAGTTGCTGAGGTAACTTTCTTGACCACCACAACAGTACTTGGTGGAATGTAAGTTGCATATGTTGTTAATTGTCCAT